ATTCAAAATATAATAATAATAGTTAATTTAATTTATTGCTTCTGATGTCGTTGTTTTTGTCACAGCGGCTTTGATAAAAGATACATATAGTATTTGTAATTTTAGATTGTTGCTCTCTCCTCTCATTTTATCTCTCTCACACACACACACAAATACGCATACGCATTTCAGTGTAAAAGGTGTTTGAGTTAATTTTAATTTTTGTGATATTTATAAAAAAACAACAAAAGAGAGACAAACCATTGTTTTTTATGATGTACATATCTATCTTCTTTGTATTTTCATACGGTATTATTAAATATAATTTTTCTTGACCAAGAAAATTCGACTCCAAATATGAAACAAATAAAAAATTTCCCGTGGCATTTTCTTTAAATTTCAATCAAAAAAGTCTTTGAATTTGATTTTTGATAAACGTTCGAATAAAACAATGAAATACAAACTATGCAACACAAAAGTTGTTTTTTCTTGGTCATTGTTTTATGTTTAAATTAAAAAATCGAGTTGCAAACTGTTTTAACCAAAGCACCGTTATATATTGTAAAAAAAAATCGTTCAAACGCGGATTGATTCGGGTTGTATTATATTTTAATTCTTATTACTATAAATGAAAAAGAAATTATTAATGTAGTAAAAAAAGAAATAGTTATATTAAATAACAGCTAAGCTGAAACAAAGAAACGACAATTCGATTGTTCGAAATTTTAACAAGTTTGAAGCATTTCTAACTTTTAAGAAAGATGTTGATATTTTTTAATGTAATTATTGTACAGTATATGTATTAAGAATAATGATCACAAACAGCAACAACAATAATATATTCTTGACATGATTAACGTTTGTTTTATTGTTTATTTTCATTAATTGTCGTTTTTACTCTTGTTTGAAAGGTAAGTTACAATAATAACATATTCTGCTACTCAATTAGTTACCTATTTGTAACATTTTGCACAGTTACACGAATCGGAATGATTATTCCTTTCTGCAAGTAGAAGAATATGACCACAATTTCCTGCAGTAGTGCGTGTTTTTTCGATCACCGTGTGTATCTATTTGGTTTAAAAATAGAAAGAGTTGTTTTTCCAATTAAATTGGTTTCAAACGATTATTAGGCCATTTATGGATTTAATCAATTAGCTGTCGAATTCGCCTAACATATATATTANACTGAAAATATCAACGAGATGTTTATTTATATTTGAAGACATATTAAAGGCTTTAACGCTTGTTTTCGACTCGCACTACTATTCATGATTGAACAAAACTTCTGGCAGGTACTGTATGAAAAATTATGCTTAATGAACAAGAGTCGAGAGTATAATGAGCTTTTTTCTCCCTATCTAAGATTTTGCCAGCATGCATCCAAGACATTGGAAGGAACACATCGCTAGAAAAAGTAAATGAAGTATATAAATTTATTTGATTTTAAAAATTCTGGGACTAGTAAACTTTCAGTTTATAATCTCAAGACTGATCAACAGTAGTCAATCGAAACCACTAGACATGAGTCGCGATTTCGATCTTGCTTGATCTCACAGAGATACGTTTCTCTTTCTGAAATAATTTTACTCTGGAAAAGAATAAGTGTAATTTCGAAAAGCTTCTAACGTAATAGATATATAGTTTTGTTTAATCGTGGTTTTGAGCAAACCATTTGGTTTTACTACGTGTTGGGGCCCCTCCTGCTATAACGCCCACAGCCGTATAATACAATTTGGTGTTTTAATAAGGGCATTATCATTTTGGATGGAATGAAGATATTTCCCTGGAGCGGCAAACAGGTATGGCGTTTACGAAAATTTAAATTGCGCCATTATCTCGTCCCTGTTCCACGGTACAATTTCGGCAGACAATTAACAACACAACAAAAAATATTCACGCAATCCCTTCAAATTACCGTATATGCAGATAGCAGACTATTTAGAAAGCCGAGAGAATTTAATATTACACCGGTTTAAATTTGCATTTTTAATTTTATATGCGCTATCCAATTATAAACCGTATCAAGTTGATTGTTACACCGATAAAATGTAATCAAAAAACAGTTAGATACGCGAAAACAATAAATTAATTGTTGCTTTAGCATGGGTTTTACTTGTCAAAAAGACTAATCCTAATACAAAAACATTTATAGAAGACTTTGTAATGATAAATGACTTTCTTTATCAGTTTGAAACAACGGTTTAGTTGTTAAGTATATTGTTTTGGAGCACGACACTGTACTAGTGCCAAAGGTGGACGATGGGCACTGAGGAAGAAGAAGAAGATGTTAAACAT